ATAGTCAAACGATCAAGTATAGAGTGTATTTGATAGAATGAGAATTTGACTTTGATTGTTGAATGAAATGAATGAGAAATTACCAGAAGAGAACACTTTTGGTGATAAAAGCTATGAGAGCGATTGTAGCAGCAAGGAAAAGAATGAAAACCCTGTTAAAACGAATGAAAACACTGTTAGGCCCGAATAGGCTAATGATACTCAGAAAATAGGAAACTGAAAATAAGAAAAGTGTTGCCATCAACTAACCGCGTCTATCATAACATAACAACTGCACGAAGTACTAATTTCCCGGCCTCCTCCATTACTCTTTGACACCTCTAAATTACTCAAAATGGGTAATTTCACCCCCTATGAGAACCACTGTACTAAGGCATATGCGACAGATATTGCAGGAAATTGATTGCCTTCGGTATGCTCTCAAATTGCTTTTGCTCTTCCTCCTATTTCATCCACCGAGCGATAAGCATTGCTGGTGAACTGGTTGTATGGATTGAACGAGCATTGAAAACATTGCTGTTAATTGAAGAAGGGGGCAATATTTCGCATAAAACTACTTCTCATCTGAAACAATTTCGAAAGATGCAATTTTTGTCTGCTAAGCATATTCAGAATGAACAATTTCCTCACTTTATGCGTACGTTATCGCTATCTCCTCATTTCAGAAGGATTTATCCGTATTATTTTTATCGTCTGTTATGTTTCAAATCTTTTCATTGTTTTGTCTGCACCGACGTTTGCACCATTGTATCTTTTCGTTCATGAACACGAAGATAATCGCACGCGCATAGTCTCTCATCGCTTTTTGCAGCATTGTTTGAAGAAAAACAAAATTACACAATTTCCTCAATGGCCGTAATCAAATTAGACGAAACATTCAGAGCATAAGCTAGTGTAATCGAAGTCAGCCAGTAACTATGAGCTCCGTAATCACTTCCTGTTTTAGAATAGTCTTTCGTGAAATTTGCTCTTATTTACTGAACACATCAACACTTTTTCATCATGCTTCCTGCTCTCGTATCACAATTCAATTGAAGCTGACCATTGGCGTTTGTTCCCGTATAGATTTT